TTGTGATGGGTTCTTTAGCATTTGCACGTAGAAGCATATATATATGCTCTCCTCCACATGCGCGCTGCATGCATGCAAAAGCGCTCCATGATTGACTTGTTAATTTATATACTCCCTCCGTCCCACGATACAAGGGATTTTGAGTTTTTATTGCAACGTTTGACCACTCGTCTTATTCAAATTTTTTTTTGCAAATATAAAAAACGAAAATTTGTGCTTAAAATACCGTAGATAATAAAGTAAGTCAAAAAAAAATAATAATTTCAAAAAATTTTGAATAAGACGAGTGGTCAAACGTTACAAACAAAAACTCAAAATCCCTTATATTATGGGACGGAGGGAGTACATGGTTAATCTCATGGTTGAAAATTAGATGTAAACGAACAAATTTATTTTTCACTTGAATGTAACGTAGATATATAATTTACTAACCATTATCCAAAACTTTGGTTTTGTTCACCGAAATTTCTGTGCATAGGATTTGTTGAGAGATACGTATGGTATTGTGTGGCACAGTCTTATCACAAACAGTCAGCTTATAAAAAAAAACAACCTTGTACTCATATCCTAGCACCACGAATCTGAACATACTCTAATCTGAACATACTCTATGTTCAGATTTATTGTACTAGGATGTATAGTACGATGTTAGTTTTTTTAATGGTAGGATGTATAGTACGATGTTGGTTTTTTTAATGGAGGGAGTACGCTGAGTACCTACGTACTGTCACTTATTGAAATATACTCTCTCTGTCCCATAAAAAACCAAACTAGTACTGGATGTGACACGTCCTAATACAATAAATCTGGACATAGTCCCTCCATCTCAAAAAAATGAATCTAGAACTAGATATGATATATTCTAGTACAATGAATATGGATATAGATATGTCTAGATTCGTAGTACTAGGATATGTCACATCTAGTACTAGGTTGGTTTTTTATGGGACGGAGGGAGTACATCTGTCTAGATTCGTTGTACTAGAATATGTCACATCCAATCATAGATTCACTTTTTTTGGGACGAAGGGAGTACATGTTTTTAAAGGAAAGAGTTGTATCCTATCTTACTATAAAGTTATCCCTCACTAACTCCTTAAGCTTAACATGCAAAGATGCCACATCATCATCCACTAACAAGATGCCACATCATCATCCACTAATTAACAAGATGCCACATCATCATCCACTAACAATCATCATATTTAAACAATTAAACATCATGCAAACATACTATATCTTTATAGTTTTTATAATTTAAGAGCTTTTCAAATACAAACATGTTAAATTATCATCCAACATAATTCACATAATGTTTCAATGTATATCTTTATTAAGTTTTATGATATCCTATATACTTATATAGTTTATCCTCACTTAGTGCTTAAATGATTAATCTATGGTCTAAATTATCTTTCTCCTTTTTTCTCTAATTAAGTCATATCACATCTATTGTTTTTAGCCTTTAGATGATTAATCTACGGTCCAAACTATCTCCCTACTTTTCTTCTTCCATAAAGTCATACCACCTTACTTTTTATGTTTAAATCACCATTCTACATACTATTTAAATTTAAATTATCATAAACCACATTAGTTTACTTAAGCTGATATTATCTAGCTATCTTACACGTTATTTTTTTTATTGTTATCATACTAAATTCCCGCAGCAATGCGTGGGGTTTCACCTAGTTGTTTTAAAATTTTACCCCATGAGCTGCTGTGCGTTTAAGCGGACTGGGGTCAATTAGCTAGCTTGGTGGCCGGGTCCCTGCCTACAAAATGTTGAGGATATGTTGTTATATGGTCGGATGACTCGGGTCATCTGACCCTGGTGGTAGTAATGTGGATCCTCCTTGTCCAAATATCTTTGTTTCAAAATATAAATATTTTAAAATCTTTTAGCAATGATTTAGATTATTTTAAAAAATGCACAGTGCCTTTCACTACATAAAATGTTATGCGTAAGATGAAGACAAATTTAAATTAGTGAGATGTTACTATAGGACACGTAAGCTTTTATTTTTGAACTTTTCATATTGTCGGCTTTTGAAATCCTTTTTTTAAAAAAAAATGGTCACCTCTTCCATGGAGCATCCTAAACATTTTTTATAAGCAAAATAAAGTGTAATTTCGCCACAGAAAACGGTGCATAAACCTGATGAAATAATAATAACCTAAGAGAAAATATAATTAAACTTATGTAAGATTGGCCGGCTGCTCGGTGTGGGGATGTTATATTTCACATGTAGCAGGGGTACGTTCATCACCTGCACATTGTCTGGACGCCGCCACGTACGTACGGGCCAGCTGCCACACCAGCTAGCCGGCCGGCCGTGTATGAATGTGACGTCGAATCCGACGATCGAGGGGACCGTCTCGATCGACCTGATGACAAACCGGACGAACGATGCAGCAATCCGACCCATCGAACAGGGGATCGATATCATGCATATCGGAGTATCTTGCATGTCATGACGGCGCGCGCGCACACACACATACATACATACATACATACATACATACATACATACATACATATATATATATATATATATATATATATATATATATATATATATATATATATATATATATATATATATCTGTGTGTGTGTGTGAATGTGTATATATGTATATGTATATATATGTATATATATATATATATATATATATATATATATGTGTGTGTGTGTGTGTGTGTGTGTGTGTGGTTACGTGGCTACAATATGTAACTCCCTCCGTTTCATATATATATACCTTTTGGACTAACATAGATTTATCTATTGATCAATGTATATGTTTTTTTATATATGTCTAGTTTCATTAACATCTATATGAATTTGAGTAATGCTAAAAAGTCTTACATCGTAAAACGAAGGAAGTATGTCTTAGTACGCAGTTAGTACATTCGTTTTTTATATACACTCTCCATTTTTATATATGACGTTTGTTGATTTTTTACATCACCACAACTCCAGAAAAGCACATCGGTACCAGTTGGGAATCCCCTTGGGTGCCGGTTTTCCCAACCGGCACCATGGAGGCGGCACGGATGACTTCGGTCATCGGTGCCGGTTTCAAAACCCTGTATCTATATGTGTGTAATAGATGCCGGTTTGTAGGTTTTAAAATCGGCACCTTTGAGACGTACGCGATCCAAAAAAAGGCTCGATGCACTGGATTGAATAGAGCCGATACATCGAGCGCATCCACCCCGCATCACTGAACTCCCAAATCATTGTAAGCAAATCACCTACTGATAAAGTGGACACAGTGACTTCAAAACCGCTGATACAATGGGTCCCCACCAAAGAAGGACAACCACAAGGACCCACTGGTGGGACAACCACAAGGACCCACTGTCATAATAGGACTCTAATGATGATGACTACTACGAGAACGGTGACAAGGAGGAGGGCATGGAGGCCAAGGCCGAGGCTGAGAGGAGGCCTCGGTCACCATGATGTGGTGATGGCAGTGTCTTGCATGGCCGAGGCGCAGGAGGAGGGCCTAGCACGGTTGTGGCACAGGTGGCGGGCGCCTGCGATGTGGAGGTGTTGCTGGATGAGGCGAAGGCTAGGGTGCCAGCCAGATGGTACTGAAAACGGTCACGGAAACTCTCGATGCAACCGAGCATCGTTTCTGTATAAGGGGTACCATTTCCTACCGTACTGTTTATAGCTATTTATAAATTTTGTTTTTTTAATTTCTTTATGCGTCGTATTAATGTCGACACTGAGTAGCTTAAATGATAAATATGGTCAATTATCGGCCGATCCATCGTCGTTTTTGAAGAGATCCTGCCGATTCCGACTATTTTCACCCCTGGTAGAAAGCACTAGCAGAAGGGGAGACGGAGGAGAACGCGTGGCACCAGACTCATCTCCTTTCGATTGAACAATTTATTCCCATCGAGAAATAGGCTTATATATTTCCCAATTTTGCATAGGGTACTCTGCTCTAGGTAGGTAGCCTAGGTGAGGACACAGGTGAGGGCTGTCTGAACTAACGGTTGGCAAATGAGCTAACAGCCAACAATTGTGAAGTACTCCTACCTGTGCTAATTGCATGAATTAAGAATTTTGTATAGAAGTGCAGAACAGTAGTGAAATACGAAGTAGTAACATAGATTGTACATGAAAAATTAAGGATTTTTTATTAACTATAGTGGTTGGTCCATGATTATATATAATGAAACTGTGTGAAAAACCAACCAAAAGTTACACCCCACCATCACCAGCTTAGACTCATTCAAGCTCTACTATCCAACATCACTCGAGGTTCTTTTGGAGAGATTACGAAAGAAGAAAAAGACCATGATGCTCTCATTAAATAGGGTGTGAGTAGTGGTAGATGGGTGATCGACGGTAAGATGGTAAAAAATATTAAATACTAATTAATTAATGGAATAAATATACTATAGGATTTCTTATATTTTGAGATAAAGTTTGAATTTTGGATCATATATTATATATTATAAGACAGAGGACTCCATCCGTCCAAAAAAATATTTGTCCTCATTGTCATAAGATATATAGGTCACATCCTATTTTAAGGCTGTGTGTTCATGTTGCTCCTTGTTGGGAACTAATGCCTTGCGCACGGAAAACGGAGCAGTCCATTAATACGTGATTAATTAAGAATTAGCTAATTGTTTTTTTAAAAAAATAGATCAATATGATTTTTTTAATTAACTTTCGTATAGAAATTTTTTATAAAAAAACACACTGTTTAGCAATTTGAAAAGTGTGCGTGTTAAAAATGAGGGATATGCGTTGGGAACCTAACTAACTAACGCAGCCTAAGTTGGCTCTAAGTAATAAGCTTACAGCTTTTTTTTAACCTCTCTCTGCCCAACATTAACCCGCTTCACTCCAAAGCACCCACACCCATCCACCAGCTCACAATGTCATGTCACTATGCATCTCACACTTCTCTCTCCATCCCCACCTTCACGTTCCTCGCCACAACAACACGTACAAAACAAAAATTCCCACTCACATGCAATATGTGCATATGCAAACCTCTCCTACCTCACACTCCACCCTAGCTAGCCCACTACACCTCCTACACCCTCACCATCCAATAGCGCAGTGACAGTGCCAATGGCCTCTCACACCACCCTCATCCTCCTCCTCCCTCTCCTCGCCGCCGCGGCCGTCGCCGCCGCGGACGTCGCCCCTGCGCCGGCGCCACCTGCGGCGCAGACGATCAACCTCACGGGCATCCTCGAGAAGGGCGGGCAGTACAACACGCTGCTCCGCCTCCTCAACGCCACCCGCGTCGGCGAGCAGCTGGGCAGCCAGCTGAAGACCACCTACGACGGCCTCACCTTCTTCGCGCCGACGGACGCCGCCTTCGCCGCGCTGAGGCCGGGCACGCTCAACGGCCTGAGCGACCAGGAGCAGGTGCAGCTGGTGCTCTACCACGTCCTCCCGCGCTACTACACCCTCGCCACGTTCCAGACGGCCAGCAACCCGCTGCGCACGCAGGCCACGGGCCCCGCCGGCGTGTACACCGTCAACGTCACCACCACCACGGGGCAGAGCCTCGTCAACGTGTCCACCGGCGTCGCCGCCGTCCCCCTCGGCACCACGCTCTCCGCCGACTTCCCGCTCGCCGTCTACTCCGTCGACGGCGTGCTCCTGCCGGAGCAGATGTTCGGGAAGGCCAAGGCTCCCGCGCCGGCCGCCGCGCCCGCGTCCGCCGCCGGGAAGGGCGCCAATAAGGAGCACAAGAAGGGCGGCGCCATGCCCAAGAATGAGGTCGCGGCCACCGCGCCGACGGCCGGAGCTGGAGGAGAAGATTCAGATGACAGCGCCACCACCAATGCGGTGGCCGTTGCAGGCGCGGCCGGTGTGGTGTGGACTGCTGCTCTCGTGGGGATTGCCAATCTTGTCATCGCGTAGAAAGTGTGTGCTTGTCTTTTTCTCCTTCGCCGTTTTCTTTCGTTTTCGTCGTTGCATATGTTTCATTGCACGTGTCCTATTTTGTATGTATGCAAGAGTATTTATATATGTTGATGATGATTCACTCAGTGAAATTTACTGGCTTCTTTTGGTCTTTCCATTGCATGTGCCCTACTTTGTCTGTATCTGAGAATAGTTATATAGATGATTCACTCAGTGAATTAAATTCACTCTTTTATATTTCTTTCCTACGGCATGTATGTATAAGAGTTCAAGGTGGCCTTTCTGGGAACACATAACCTATATTAACAAGGATGATAGCCCACGCAGGGCATGTATATTATAGTCTGCATTTGAGAAACTTCTAACAATTGAATATCAACCATATGGGACCATATCCTATATGAACAAAAGCTTCCCGTGCACAATCAGTGCACACCAACTATAGACATTTACTCCTAATAGTATTACATGTATCTATAAAGTCTCATATTCAAATTCATTATATTTTAGCGATAACAAAAAAGTGAAAAAAATTGACAGATTTAAGGGTAAAAATCTGTTAGAATTTTGTCTTTTTCTTTATGACTAAAATATAATGAATTTAAAGATAAGATTTCACAGGTAGGTGTAATACTATTGGAAGTATGTGTCCAATTTTTTTAAAAAAAATTTGTGACATTTGCTAGTTGATGTGTACGGAGTGTGCACAGGAAGCTTGTGTACATAGTATATATTCCCCAACCATATAGCACTTGCCAAACTTTAGAAGTATGTTTTCTTCATAAATTTATTTGTCATCTTTTCTTAAATAACTTTTCTTACATAGGAGTATTTTTCACCCATATACTATCTAATATTTAATTCATCTATATAAGCTATTTTTTTCTTCATCATTTAAAAAGGAGGTAGAATAGTTTGTTTAGGAAACATGTCTAACAAATTAAGTTTAAATTAAAACTAAGGTGTTTTTTCTTTTTTAATTGAATGTTTTGGGGCTCTTTTTTGAACAAATCTTGGAAAACTATTATTGCTAATAATGTACCATCAAGCTAGCCCTCTTTTTAATTGGTTCACATTGATGCAATTTGTTATATATATTTACATATGAATCAATAAAGAGAGAGTAGATATACATATCCTAGATCTTGCTTCCGAGAAACGTACACATGTCATACGACAAGAGGGGGGGGGAGTTATGTTTCCTTTGAGATAGATCCAATGGTTTCAACAGTTTGATTTATAAATATAATAATGACCCAAAGTAATGTATTTGTTTTATACTTGTTAAATATCTATTTTCTAATCAAATTGTGTATTATCATAATATTATTTATAAATTTTATGTGTATTTATAACATTAATTTTATGTGTTGCATATTGTTCTATTAAAAGCTTTGTGTTTTTAAATAGATCATTAAAATATCTATATGATTTTACCTATAAATGTGTTTTTATCTCTTTTACTTATTAAATATATAGTTAGTTTGGATAATCTAATAATGTATGTGGATAAAATATTAGCTATATGATTTAGAGCATATAATTGTTCGGAATTTATTATCACAAAATATGTTTTCTATCTAATATAGAATGAGGGAGGAGGTATGGCGTACGTACGTGTGCTGGTGCACGTGCACGACACGGACGGCCCGTGTGGATCCTTTTTTTTTAACTCTTTTTATTAACTAGCAAAATACCCGTGCTTTGTTACGGGTAAAAGACAAATAAATTTTTTATTATGCTAAGTATTGATCACAAATTTAAATGATAATTAGGATGGATGAAAACCAGTATTGCATATTGATATACTCATATTCTCATCATAATAAAGATGGGCATCGGTGCTCGGGCAACGAAGAAAACCAGAACAACAGGAACATGGCCGGCAACGACGTGGCCCTGATAGAGAGAGAAATGGCATTGGCGAGCTCTGGTGGTGAACACGAGCAGATGAGTGTGTTAAAACATGTTCCCAGACGAGGGGTTCCATTTTCCTTGAATGCGTAGAAAGAACGAAGATGAATAAAAACAACCAACACTATTCATCATCTTCCCTAGCCGAAGCAAGAAACAAAAAAGAGGGAATATGGGCGTTGGTGCTCTGGTGATCATATGGCGGTGAGGAAGGTGGTCGGACATGTACCACGATGTGACTTGTCCATAGATGGTGGCGGTTGGTTATAAAGAAAATCAAAACAGCGGGAACACAACCAGCGACGATGTGGTCCCCACAGAAAGAGAAACGGCAACAACGAGCTCTAGTGGTGAACACGGTCGAGTGAGCATGTCAAAACGTGTTCCTGGACGAGGGGGTTCCGTTTTACTTGAGCGCGCAAGAGGGAGGGAACACAGAGGAGAAGAGGGGTGCTGGGAGGAGAGGTGCCAGGGAGGAGAGGGGCTACGGGGAGAGGGGGATCACGAGGCAAAGATGGGAGGCGTTGAGAGGGAGGGAGGGAGGGAGGCGAAAGCGGAGGCACGTGGGAGGGAGAGAGGGAGGCGGAAGCAAAGACATACGGGATCGAGACAGGGAGAGAGGCGGAAACGGAGGCCATGCGTGATGGGGAGGTGGATGGACAAAAATTTGTCCGAAGGCCTTACATATTTTTTTAATTAGGTATAGAGGTGCACCCAACGGTAGAAAATAGTGATTTCACCGTATTTAAAGTAAAATCGATGGTTAGATATTTTTATTTCTTTAGAATTGTTTGGATTTTACTCTACTTTATTAGAGCACCACGAGGCAGCTTACGAGAGTTTGTAGGAAGAGCGTTTTAGGAAATATATAATAGATAGATAGATTTCATACAAAAATAAATATACCCTTGTAAGTTGAAAACCATAAATCTGTGCGATGGGGCTTTAACACCCATCAGTAATGCATATATGGTACGCACGTATAAGAATTGAACATAGTTTTACACTAATATTATTAATTACAACAAATTGATACTGCAGTGTCAATTTTCCAATAACTAAGCTATATTCTTATTTACAAGAAATGTAATATATATTATAAATATATATCCAAAGGAATTAATCGTCAAAGTATATATGTATTTACATGTTTATTACATATATATCTCACCTCTTTGTGATGAAAATTTGGCTCAGTCCGTGGTTACCCACTGATGTTTTCTCGTGACTTTTATATCTCACCTCTTTAATTAACACATTCTGTATCCTTTATAGTCCTGTTTGAAGAGACCATGTTTTGATTTAATTGAGTGTGTGTTTTAAATATTTGTTTTCACTTTTATGCGTATTCCTGTTATTTTAATGCAGTTTAATCGTAAAACAAGTAATTCCTGTTAGTTTAATACACAGTTTAATCGTAAAACAAGTACTACCTATGTTTAGAGTATATGACCGGCTTTTGTACGTACGTCTGGCCTTACAACTTATTAAAAGATAGTGCAAATATCATTTATTTTGTTATAACTTATATGTGTACTATATTTTGTAATAAGACAAATAAAAGATGAATGATAAGACAATGTGTCCAAAAGCCAACTGCTTCTTATATTTAAAAATGGTGGAAGTACCAAACTATGGGTTAATTTGTGCAGTAGTATTTTCCAGTGTGAAGGTGGTAAAATACACAGGGCAAGTACAGTAGAATTCATATTGATTTAGAGATGCAAACTAATATAAATCATTCCACACTGAAGGACAATAAATTTGCTATATATAAAAATGATATGTCATATAAGTACTACATCCAGTTCGGATTGAATTACAAATTGTTACAACGCAATAACAACATATGAAGATTCATAATGACAACGCTACATTCAGCAGAAAATTTCACTCCAGATAATCACGATGTCCCCAAGAACTATTTTTGAGCTTTTTTCGCAGAGGGCCTACCAACGTTTTTCTTTTTGCTGCCAGAAGATCCACCAACGGTTTTCTTTTTGCCGCCAGAAGATCCACCAACGTTTTTCCTATTGCTGCCAGAAGATCCATCATTCTCTCTCTTCCTCCTAGGATTTTTCAAGATTTTTATAATTTCTTCAAACACTCTTGCCTTCTCTTCTTTGATAGTATCAATTTCATCAATAAATCTCGCCATCCGCCTACTTGACATTGCAGTGACCGGTTTGTTGATGATCCTCCCTATCTTCTTCTTTATACTTCTTATCTGTGACAGGTTAAAGAACCAAATTAATATCACATAAAATGAAATCAACTTCATTTTATATGCAATGAACTATGTACAACATATATTACTACTCCCTCCGTCCCAAAATAAGTGCAATTTTAGCACTGTTCATGTTCAACGTTTGACCGTTCGTCTTATTTTGAAAAAGATTATGATTAGTATTTTTATTATTATTAGATGATAAAACATGAATAGTATTTTATGTGTGACTAATTTTTTTAATACTTTTCATAAATTTTTCAAATAAGACGGATGGTCAAAGCGCTAAGCACGGATATCTATAGCTGCACTTATTTTGGGACGGAGGTAATACTCAACAACTAGAGGCATGTAGATGATCGTTTTCCATGCACATGCATACCTGCTCCACCGAGAAGGTTATTAGAGCTTTGTCTTCCCCATCACAAACCTTGAAGAAATTGTTCAGAGTCTCCAGTTCCTTGTCAGTTTCCACCGCTGTGGCGCGCAGATACTGTATCACCTCGTGTGGAGCCATTCTTGATGGCGTCGCCTGCGCCCTCTTCCTCTTCCTGTCTACCATGCTCGGGTACATGGTAGCAGTAGCAGCAGAGCTACCTCCAGCTTGCTGGGTCACTTGAGATGATTCCAGTATCTTCACGTCTGCCCTTTTCGCTGCTGGACGACTGTTTGCAGCGGCATAGAATTCTTCAACTTTGAACAGTAAGGTAGCAACAACAGCATTCTGCTCATGGGCTGCTGGCGGCGCCGGCGCCGGCACCGGCGCTGGAAGCTCTGCTGCTGGAGGAGCTCCGATGAACTGTGCCGCCGGCGGGGACGCTGCATCTGTAGTTACTGCGCACATAATATCAATTTGTATGAATTAATACACAATGTACAAATTAAAATGGTTCAAATGAAAACATCCATGCCTTATCACTCGCTCCACTGTTTCAGTATCGAAAATTTGACGACGGCTCGATCATTTACCGTTCTCAAATGGGGCTGACACGATCGTATGGAGCATGTTCATTTCC